CCCCAAAACCCCAAAACCCCAAAACCCCTTGATATGAGAATTTTTAATATTTAGTGAAATTAATGTTCAAGACTGATTTTAAATTTAAGATAATTATTATGAAAGAAGATTTATCAAAATTAGAAGGAAACGATAAGAAATCAAGATTCAGACTTGCAGACAAGATAATTCTTAAATTTTCAATATTAGCTTAGGCAATACTATATAATCGTGTAGCCGGTACAAGCTTTTATGGCTTTTTAACTATACTTGATCATCTGATATTCGGAATTATTATTGTTGTATGTTCTTACCCTACGATCAGTTATTATGATTTTGTAGACACAAGGGATTTCTCATTTTATTTTTTCCATGATTACACTAACACACTAATTGCTATTAGTGCTTTATTCCTTTCAATAATGCTACTCATGATTCTTATAGCTGCTTAGATAATTATAACCAATAAGACTTATGAAGTTGCAAAGGAAAGTTCTTTCATTAAAAAGTCTCTATATGTAAGCATTTTAGTTTTGATTTCAAATAGATTTTTATAATGCTGTAGAGAACAATTTTAGTCTATGTATTCACTATTTTATAGCTTAGTTCTATCATTGCACTTTCAGAACTTTAATCTCAAGGAGATACTAACTACTTATTAATTATCCTGCTAATAATGAATGGAATTTTATACTCTGCTCTTTTTTTCATGGCATTTACACTTGTTTAGATACCTCTCCAGAATTCTAATCTTCCATGGATTGCCATATTCCCTAAATACTTTATTATTAAAGAACTTGTAAAGTTTTTTAGTTAATCATTATGATATAGATCAAGTCACTAGTGATTGCATAGGAATTATTTTTGAATGAACTTAGAGTTCATACAATGGGATTTATTGCTTACAATTTTCTTATCCTTACCTTAGTTACTCTTAATAACTGTCAGAGACCTATTTATTTTTGTTATAAGTTAGATCAAGTTTATGTATTTTGCATCAGGCTAGTTTTATCTTTGACATTTGTTAGCTTTATAAGGATTGCTTTTGAGATCTAGTTAATTGAAATGCTAATCTATATTCCAATAACATTTTATGCTTTGATTAAACTATTTGCATTTTATTCAGATTGGTCTAGATCTAACCTATTCCTTAATCTTAAGGCATCTAAACAAATCAATGGAAAATAAGTTCAGTAGATGATACTATATTCCTTATAAATGGTAGAAAGACAAAATATAGACGATTTGAACCTGCTTCATAATATTATTCATACTCATAGAATGAAATGTTTAGATATCAACTGTACTTGTCAAATGTATTTCAAACTCATAATATCACAATTTAAAAAGAATGATGAGCATCATAATAATCAAATATTAAAAAGCCATAGTAAAAAAGGTAAAAGAGAATTATAGATAACAGATCAAAGCTCCTTTATACTCATTAAAACAGCTAACCTTGATTAAATTTCCGATAATTTTCCTGGATCATACCATTAGCCAGATGATATTGGGGATTAAATTTCATATAATGAAAAAAAGCTCTAAGCTCGTTAAAGTGATTGGGTAGCCAGCTCTATAATCAATTTAGATTCTGAGTAAAGTCCCACTCATGATTAGAATATTCTGTCCGACTAATCAGTATGGAAAAAAGCTCTTAACCATGTGGAAGGAACTCAACCAGTCTATAGTCAAGCACAGACATTTTCATTTGATACTAATCTCATTGTATCTGGTATATCTATTGATGACATGTTTAAGGAGATTTTTGAAATAGAAAATCTTAATTAAAAATTAATGAATAACTCCTCAAGCTTGTTTTTGAATAATCATAGCAACTCAAAATCTCAACTGGAAAAAAATATTTATCCGGGGAAAAAACTAAAATTTGCTGATCAAATGGAAGCTAGAAAATACCTGTTTATTTAAATTCTAGAAATCATATTCAAGGACTATGAATAAAATAGTAGTTTTATGAGCTCGTTTAAACACCCGGAATACTAGCTTCAATACATTAACTTTATTAACAAGAATTTGTAGAAACATTTTTTAGCTATATTCCAGTTGCTAAAAATAAACTAGAATAAGAAAAAATTAGGATTCTTTGAACGGATCTAATTTTCGATTTGTGAATAACTCATCATATAAGAAGCACTACTAAAATTCAAAAATAATTCAGGAGGATTTGATTACTCTTACTTTATTGATGGTAATCACAAGTAATAAGAATTAGATTCATATTTTGAAAAAGCAACTTTGGATATCCTTGAATTTTGGAAAAAGATTAAATCTGATGATCCAAGTGTATAGTAAATTTTGGAACTTGGAACTCAAATATCTGATACCATTTATAGGCTTAAAATACTGACAAAAAAGTTAGAAGATGATCAAATATTAAAAAAAGATCTTGGAAAGTACTAAATCTATGCCTTATTTCATCTAGAAATGCTACATGATCCGGTTACATCTAGTTAAATGGCAAGCTTTATAAAAAATAACTAAGTCTTAAGAAGCAAAAGTAAATTTTTTGGGATGATGACAAATAATAATGGAGCTGCGATTTAGCTTCACAATCAAATATCAGATGTAGGAGTTTCCATTATTTCAGCATGGAATGGAGCCAAATCTACTTGGGAATTTCTTTACGGTAATAAGGCATTTTGTGACTTATTTAAGATCTCTGAAAGTAATCTATAGGGTAGAAATATTAATTAGATTATGCCGAAACCAATTGCACTCAACCATGATTAGATCATAAAAAAATTTTATCTTCATGGTCATCCAAAAGTTCTTGGTAAACTTAGAGTATTAATTGCTAAAGCAAATGATGGTTATCTCATTCCAATCTAGCTTAGAATAAACTTTTACTATAACTTAAAATTTAGCTATTCTTTTGTTGCTTAAGCTGAAAGAGTCAAGTATTGGAACATTTTTAACGAAGAATAAAATAGAATTCCCATGAGTGATTGTATGATCCTACTTACTGATGAAGAGTTAAATGTCTTAGATTTTTCTAAAAGCTTTGTAATTTATACTGGAATAACTGCTCAAAAAATTGAAAATAATGAGGAGATGACAGGATATAAAGAAAATTTGCTAAACATAATTGAAGATATTTAAAAAATTTTGCAACAAGATTTCGGAAATAATTCAAATCTACCTAAAAAAGCGAAAGCTGGACTGGTTAATAAAATTGTTTAATGTCGAAAATTTAATCAAGTTATGGATTCATTCGATAATCAATAGAATTTTCCTTGCTTGCTTAATTATGTTTAAGAGAGATACTAAACAATTAATGATGAAATAAGATTGAATATCTTTATGATACTTCCATTAAACAAACATCCAGATTTTGAATTGATGGCTACATAAAAAGGCATATACACTAAGAAATTCTCAACGTAACAAGCATAGTTTAAAAAGACTTCATCGACTGGCAATCCAATAACTGAGGGTAGAGATATTTAAGATAAATCCTCAATGAATTCAGAGAGTGGCAATTTTGATTTAAGCTCCCTTAGTAGCACCAATTCTTCATCTAATAGTAATGCAATTTAGTCTCATTATGCTAAAAACCTATTGTTTCAAAGGAAAGCTCCAAAAATTCTTAAAATCAATGCAATTGTATTAGCCTGTACCATAGTATCATTCCTTATCATCAGTATTTACAATCTTGCTGTCTTTACAGACAAGCATTAGCAAATTTCAGGCAGACTAACAGCAATGTCCTATATTAGTTAAAGAAATGCTAATATGAGAGCTACACTACTAGATATTAAAACTATTCATTTGATAGTACAAGACCTCAAAAATTTAAATTAATCTACAGTTTTACCAGCAAACCTATCTAGGATCGATTATTACTTAGGAGATATGCAAGATAATCTTTAGATAGTCAGAGATTAAGCAGATAAACTAAATAGATTCATTGCTTTAAACAAAGAATATTTCAGTTTTAATTTGAACTTTGAAAACTTAACATTTCTAACAGATTATGGATATATTTACAAAATAAGTGTGGTCTTTAAATAAGCTACAAAACTTTTAAATAGCTATTCAGAAACTCTCAAAATCGATGACTTTATAAGTTAGAAACCTAACCTTAATGTTACTAATTATGCTAAGAATTATTCGTTTTAGAGAAATGATACGCTAAATAGAAGTTTAACAGCATTAGAGCAGTCTCTATTCTTTATATTTGAAAATGGAATGTATACATAGCAAGAATTAGGATAAAGATAATTACTGATGCTTTAAGAAGCCTCATTTGAACAAACTGAATCTAGTTAAACAACATTAATGGTTACTACATTTGTTTCTATAGGAATAGTTTCACTTATTTGCATCATAATTTTCCCCTTACTAACTAAGGTTTTAGATAGAATATATACAGTGCTTAAGTTCTATAATAATCTAGACAAAGCTATCATTGAAAAATGCCACTAATAAGGATTGGAATTCAAGAAATAATTAAGAACGAAGATTGGAAACAATAAGCAAAAGTATAGTTAGCAATAGAATTTATCAATATCTATAGCTAATTCTAAGTTAAAGCCAAACTAAAATGATAAAAATAATGATAGAATAGATATCTAAGATAATAAGAATCAATAATCTGATTAAGAAATATTAAGCTCAAGGAGGTTTACTAAAGAAACAGATTCCAATAGAGGACTAAAAGAATAAGACATTTAAATTACTTTTTCAAGAAAAACATAAAAAAAATTAGACCTTAAAAAGTAAGACAAATAAAAAATATAGGGGCCTCTTAAATAATATGTGAGCAATAGCCTTAAATCTGCTTAAAAAGATGAAAAGTTAAAAAATAGAAAAAGAATCAGTGTAAATTTAAGAAAGTTAGAGCAGATTGAGGAAGAAAAAGAAGAGGAAAGTGAAAGCGAAAGTGAATACTAAGATAACAAATCTCCTTAGAGTGAAAGACATAAATAAAGAAATGCTGAATCCAAAAAAAATAGGAGGAGAACAAAACTGCCTCAAAATCAGGAGGAAAAAAGAGAGATAAAAAACAAGCTGCTCATAATTCAAATAAGAAAGAGAATTTTTGCTTAAAAGTTGAAGATCTTTATGTTCGTATTTCTAATGATAGGTTATTTGAATAGCTCTTTGCTGATTTCCTACTATCAAAGCTAAAATGTCTTTAAATATGATAAAGATAGCGTAATATCATTACAAAAAGCTTACTTTAGAGAAGAATGTGCATACAATTTACAGTTGTTAATGAGAGAAAAAATCATAAGAAACTATACTTTGAATATAAATCTTTTCACTGATTCTCAATCATTTGTCTCTGTACCAGCAATATATAATTATGTGGATAGATGCTTTGAAAATGAAAATTATATGAGTCAACTCAGGAGAAATTATCCAGAATATTATTAAGAAGCAAAAGAATAAGTTGAGATAATTGAAGGTCCTGGACTTTGCAATGCTACATTCTTAGCAGTAAACCCAACTAAAGCGAATCTTTGCGAAAGAGCTATGGATGGTATTTTAGCCTAGGGTTAAAGTAATGCTCTCTATTAGCTTATTAGCTTTATTTAGCAGACAAATATCAACTTAGACTCATCTACTAGAAGAAACAGATAATTTTTAGACTCTCTACTCTATCAAAAAAGAATGCAGGAGTTTGCAGATCTCTCACTTTATTACCTAAAAACTGGATTTGATCTTATTCAAGACATTCTTAAAACAACAGCAATCAGTTACTTTGATCTTGCAAAACAAAATTATATATTAACTTTCGGTCTATTTATGTCTTTTACTGTCATCATTTCATTTGTTCTGGGAGTTATCGTTTTCAGAAGAGTAAAAAAGGCTATTTTAGACGTATAGAATATGCTAATTTTACTACCCTTAGAAGAATTGGATTTATAATTAAGATAGAAAATTGAAGCATTCCTTAACAAATGATAACTGATAAGGTAAAAATAATTCTGATTATCATTGATTTAATCTTTATTTCTTTAATTATCGAATTCAAATTATACTCGCTAATGTTTTCGTGAGGGGTTTTGGGGTTTTGGGGTTTTGGG